GTGGGCTAACCTGCTCCAATCCTTCCCAAACAAGATACAGAAACAAAGATATACAAACAAGAAACTGAAGGATCTGTCCAAAGGGAGGAATAAGATGGTGAGAGGAGCAGCCACTTAGCAGCCCAGAGTAGCAAATCCTTTGGAAATATGAAGGAGAAACAGAAAAGGCGATCTTCCTTGAGAACTGTTATTTCTAAAAGAATAAATTATTACCATATGTGCCAACTCAACTCTAGCTGCTTTGGGAAATGGCAGTGCTGAGGAGGATATCCCTGTGGAAGGTGACATTTACGGAAGATTGACCTGGCCGCTTTGCTTTTCTTGGTGCATACAATATTTAGGAAGGCAGTGCATATTCTCATTTATTGCAGTGCATTGTATTTCTTTAGCATGCTCTAACACTTTGCGTTCCACCATGAGGGCTTCAGAGGACACATTGCCCGTAGAGTGTCTGGAAACCTTTGAAACCTCCTCCCCACTTTTGTGACTAGTGCTTCCTTGACATGACAAGCACAGGCTGACACATCCCAGCAAACTTTGCAAATCCCAGCAAATGCCAGCAGGTTTGTTCAGCTGCAGTAGCCCGGCACACTGCATAGTTTGTAGCGCTCAGTGGCCTGTGTTTTCTCTCACCCTTTACATTAGGCTTGTCTTAAAAGCCACCTTCAGACCAAGTGATCCAGGTGGTGATGCAGCCCGTCCTCAGCCAGGCTCCTCCTTTTGCTTGTCAAGCTTGCCACCCACTGTCCCCCGACCACAGGAGCAGTTCAGGAGCATCAGCCTCCCCAAAACAAAGTACAGCAACTCCGCCTGCCTACACGGTTTTCGCCCCTCTATCTTCCTCAGGCCCTCCACAAAATGTACAGTGTATATACTTTACATCACAGATCCTAAGTCCCATAAACTGATATATATATGTACATAAAACATGTATAATATAATAACCTTCAAACACATGTTCATACCTAATTAGATTTATATGATATTATAGTATTTGCTGCTTCAATAAACTATGTAACAGGAATGTAACATTCAAGTAAGGTATTAACAACAGCCAAATATTTATTCAGCTTTGGTTTTGCATATATATACATTTTAAACCCTGTATGTCCACATCCCCTAAATAAAACTCATGGTATGATAAGATTTGGCAATTTGCTGAATCAGAGTTAAA